CGCCAACGACCCTCTGTTCCAAATTGACAGACTACTTCATTTTGGGGAGTTTACATAGTTGTGTGTACTGACAACTCAAACAGTAACACGGTATGGTCAAACCTGGGTCAGATTTGGCAACTGTAGTTAAGAGAAACCTAGGATGTACCCTCAACCTTTTTACTATAAATAGAGCTAGGTACAAGGTGATGTGACAAGACATCTAATTCCTTCTAAGAGAGTACAAGGGACTAGAGATTTTCCGTTCATGTCTCTTAACTCCGACGAAGGACTGTCCGGGAGGTCACCACCAACAGGAAAACACACCAAAGATACTTATCTGTTTATTTTAGTTCGCGACCTAGTAGCTCGGATCTGTCCGGTCTACCACGCTCTCCTTAGATCATAACGGTTTGATAGCTCGGAGCCCGAGATCTATCTGAGCTATCACGTAACGGTCTACTTTGTAACACCTATTCCGAGCTCATATTCTAATACACGAAACTCTCCGACCTCCTGTCTACTATAAATTCATTGTTCGATCTTCTAGTTAAACAATATCGAATGGGCACACGAGGTTCTTGAAGGGTGGGATAATGGAATATTTCATGTCGAGATCAGAGATCTTCTGGCTTTTCGTTACCACAGAAAACGTGTGCTGGAAGAAGAAGAGTTGATGGTGGACGACATGCTTGAAGATCATAATGAAGAGGAGGAGAAGAAGAATAGGGCAATGGACGTCAGACAAAACGGGTGGGATCTAAAGAAGAATATTGTTTTGTCTGCGTACGCATGTGTTCAGTATGTGGAAGGACGGAGAAACATTTAGAGTGCGGTTGGTATTTTGAGATTGTTGGGGACGAGAGAGCCTTAAGATGGTAATAACGACCGATTGAATCGGAAGATGGTGGAGGCAATGATAGGAGGAGGATTCTTTGGTGAACAAGAGTGATGACGATAATCATATTGAAGATTTGTATTAACAATAGGTAATATAAACAAAGACCACATGAATATCAATTGGTTAGAAATATATGTATTTCAATACGATATATGGTTATATTTTAGTTGAACTATTCGCATTAGAGGAGACATCTTTTAGTGAGGGTTACGAATCTTCTATTATTTTCTAATTACCGATTTTTTAATGGACTTAAAGCCTAGTACCAATTCGACTCGTAAGTGTTCACATGGTGAATCGAACTCAAGTTGGAAGAGTTTATTCTTTCTCTTAAGTTATTTTATCACTAGGCCACCACCTTTCAGTCTTTAAGTTAATGTGGTACGATTTCAGCCTTTAAAATAATAAACAAATATTGGTTTGATTTAGATTCAGGTTTTTTTATTACGTCATTCTGCCCACATCTTATATTTTATAATTATTAAACTGTGTATATGAAAAATAGTAAATATCATCTATATGACCATCAACATAAATACTATTGGGGTTCAAAGTTTAAAACATTCAAAGCCCTTTAATAAACAGTGGTCACACTAGCAGCAATAATTCTGCTTCTGCACATTGTACCAATATCATTTTCTCATAAAATATATTTGAAGATATGGCTTTGTTTCATGTGGCTATCAACAAATTCATTTTGGTATTACAAAGTCTTTCCATCAATTTCCTTCTCTTGACGAAAAAAAAATGGGAGATGTGACCGTGATTTCTTCAAGTATTATCCAACCCGGTATCATCGATCAATCAGGTCAGGCAAAGATCCATCTTATTACTCCATTTGATCTTAACATTCTCTATCTTGATTACACTCAAAGAGGTCTTCTCTTCTCCAAACCCGCCCGGAAACCGTTTCATCTCTCGGTTAAATTCCTCTTTTTCAATTGTTCTAGAGATCTAGTTCCCATTCGCTGGTCGTCTTGTCAAAGTGAACTACCACGAAGATAGTACCGTGTCGTTTTACAATTTACATCGACTGCAACGATGTTTTGGGTACCAAATTTGACCCTGCCATAGCCGAATCTGTCTTGGTAAGCGATTTTCTTCAACCTAGCTAGTGGCTCTGTTCCTGAATGTTTTAGGCTTTTCTTTCCAGTAAACGGTGTCAGAAACATCCACGGCGTCTCGGAGCCCTTGCTTGCTATTCAAGTCACTGAGATTGCGGTTGATCTTTTGAGATTGTTGGGGACGAGAGAGCCTCAAGCTGGTAGCGACCGACTGAGTCGGAAGATGGTGGAGGCAATGATAGGAGGAGGATACTTTGGTGAACAAGAATGATGACGATAATCATATTGAAGATTTGTATTTAACACTAGGTACTATATATAAACGAATATCATAGAGAAAATCAATTTTATTAGAGATCTTTTTTTTAACATATCTAAATGGTATAGCAATATGTCGCTGCATTATAAGTGCATTATAACTTGTACCACCTCACATGTAACCAATCAATAAAAGAGCACTATGAAATATAATACC